ATATCAAAACAAAAAAAGAAACTAGGACACAGTAAGCAAACATAAAATAAATGAATATAATAACTTACTGATGGCTCGGAGACAACAGTCAATATCAATTCACATAAAGAGGCAATCCATGGCTTCAGCAAGCTCCCAACATAAAGAATCTAGAAATTTTCGAGAGGAGGAAAATTTCTTGGAATTACTGGAGGCAGAATACAAAAGATTAATATACAGAACTCTTCGAGAAATTAGGAAGGAAATTAATCAAAAGGCAGAACACACAATAGAGGAAATTAAAATGATTAGAGAAGAGCATAATGACAAATTTAACAGGCTGCAAGAATCCATAGAGAGACAGCAGTCTGAAATCCAGAAGATTAACAATAAAATTTCAGAATTAGACAACTCAATAGAAAGTCATAGGAGCAGAATTGAGCAATGGAAGTTAGAATTAGTGAGACTGAAGATACAGCACTTGATGCCAACTTATTTAAGGAAAAATCAGGTAAAAGGATTTGAGAAAAATGAAGAAACTCTAAGAATTATGTGGGACTCTATCAAGAGGAATAACCTACGAGTGATTTGAGTACCAGAACAAGGGTGGATAACAGAAAATACAGAAAGAATTGTTGAAGATTTGTTGGCAGAAAACTTCTCTGATATCGTGAAAGACGACAAGATATCTATCCAAGATGCTCATCGAACCCCACAAAAGGTAGATCCCAAAAGAAAGTCACCAAGACATATTATAATCAAACTTACCAAAACCAAAGATAAAGAGAGAATTTTAAGAGCAGCTAGGGATAAACAAAAAGTCATCTACATGCCAAACCACATGAAGATTGCCCAGGAGCAGAAGCTCAGAAGAGACAAGGACCTTCCTCCAGAGCCAACAGAAAGAAAGCCTTCTCCTAGAGCTGGCACCCTGAATTTGAACTTCTAGCCTCCTAAAGTGTGAGAAAATAAATTTGTTTGTTAAAGCCAAAAAAAAAGAAAAAAAGTAATCTAAAAGGGAGAGTCAATAAGAATAAGCTCAGACTACTCAGCAGAAACCATGCAGGCACGAAGGCAATGGGATGACATATACAAAGCCTTGAAGGAAAAAAAACTGCCAGCCAAGAATTATATATCCAGCAAAACTGTCTCTCAAATATGAGGGCGAAATTAGGGCATTTCCAGATAAACAGAAGTCTAGGGAATTTGCAGAAACCAAACCAAAATTACAAGAAATACTAAAGGGAGTCCTCTGGTTAGAAAATTAGTAACATCAGATAACAACTCAAGACTAGAACACAGGACAGAGCAACCAGATACCAACTCAGACAGGGAAGTCACAGACGTGAATCAAAGCTAAAACACTGAAAACAGGGAAACAGATGTCAATATATAAAAGATGACAACATTAAAACAAAAAAGAGGGACTTGAAAAATGTAGACATAGATTTTTCATATGGAGAGGCAGTCAAGGTGATATAAAGGAATAAAAGACTGGTATAAACTTAGAAAAATAGGGGTAAATATGAAGGTAACCACAAAGGAATCTAAAATCCTACAAGTCAAAATAAAAAACTAGAAAAATATAAAGACTCAGCAAACACAAAATCAATAACAATGAAAAAGATGAAAAGAAAATACATAAAGAAACTGTGAACAACACACAAAAAAAGACATCAAAATGACAGCACTAAACTCATACCTATCAATAATTACTCTGAATGTAAATGGAC